ATTTTAGTGCGGTTATTGTGTCTTTCTTGTATGTTCCCAATAGTGTGAGTAATAGCGGACCCCCATGACCTTCCCGGTCATGCATAGTGTAGTAGAGTAAAACCATCCCTGGACCTGAGCGGCTCGGACTGAAGTTATCAGTCGGGATGTAATAGCGTCTGCTCGTATAGATCTATACATATAGTGTCGTCTTCCTATCGGAAAACTTCAGGCATAGTGTATAGCGTATAGAGTATCCCATAGTGGATTAGTGAATTATCTCATGATTAGTGCATTCTCTTGTATTATAGTGTAGTAATCTTTCGTATAACTTGTATTGTATTCTCTTATTAGTGTATTGTTTCATAATAGAGAGAATTATAGTAGTGTAGAGTAATAGTCGAAACAAGGGATAGAGTCCTTAACTATACCTATTATAGTTAATTTAGTGTGTGTGGTTCTAATCAAGTTAGTGATTCAGGTAATTAATGAAATAAAAAAAATACTCATAATCCGTACTAATATACGAGATATATAATTAATAAATCAATGACAGTCGGATGGATAACCACTACCCTAAGCCCACAATCAAACAAGAAACAGGAAATAAGGCGAGCTATCGGTCCTAAGTCCTTCAAGTGTTAATTATATAAATATATTAGTATGATTACATTCTTATAAAGAGTTTTATTAAACAAAAGTGTTGTACGAAAGGAACATTCAAAACTTGTTTGTTAATCCAAGATAGTTTTGAAAACAATTGATTTATTTATAAAGCATAGTGATAAATCACATGTGATTTGAACTACAGGTTGTAAATCACATGTGATAAATTCTGAAATCTGAAAAATAGTCTTGTATAACTTTTTATAAACATGTATATTCAACTTGTATCTCCCCCTAAAACATATAAAACATTTGAAAGGTTCATTTAAGGGGTATGAACTCACCTGAAATCGCGGAAATCGGGTGAATCGGGTAAAAGTGTCGATTGAGGGTTTTGTACCAAATAACCACTTGAGCACCTCTTAGGACCCTAATATCATATGAAATATGTATTTTACAAGAAGTTAATCATCTTATGCTTTTCATTATAGTATTTGGACATTCTAGCATCGTTTTCGGGGTTTTAAGGCCTAGAAAGGGTTCCCGGGAGTGGTATAAGGTCATGAATGATTTACGGGAGGGTCCATGAGCTCACTCCCTTGGAGTTTATGACCTAAAGGCCATCCTTTGGGAGTTTACGGCCGTAAACCCCTTAGGCTTGGCCTTAAACTCTTGTGGCACTCCAAAGTGTATGTTTAAGGTCTTATTTCACTTCCTTAATTTAGTGGTATGTGTCTTGGACTATTTTAGGGGATTAAACATCATAATTTGTGACATTTTTGGGGAGTTTACGGCCAAGACTTGTTCTTGGGCCGTAAACTCAAGTAAACCCTTCAAGATGTATGTTTTAATGGTACAACAAAGTCTCATACACCTTAGATAAATCCTAGAAGGCCCTATAGTGAGTTTGGGACAATTTGGCATACATTTTTGGGGAGTTTACGGCCCAAGAACATCCTTGGCCGTAAACTCTTCATTTTGTGCTCAAATGTGAAGTTTAATGGTACAACACACTTCCAAAGGCCTTAGTTAAAATCCTTACATGCATTTGAGGGGTTTTGGGACTTGTTTGACACAAAAATATGGGTGTTTACGGCCCAAGCTTAGCCTTGGCCGTAAACTCCTCTTTTTGCCTTCAATTGATGTTGCTTGATGCATTTAAGCCTTCCTTGTTGTCAAGTCTAAATTGCCAAACACCCTAGATGAGTTTTTGGGACATTAAACAAGTGTTTTTGGGGGTGTTTGAGGTGTTTATGGCCTAAGCATATGCTTGGGCCGTAAACTCCTTTTTACATGTCAAATCCTTGTGTTTTAGTGTCCAAAGTCCCATAGGTTTATGCCTTAACTAGTCCATAAGCTTAAAGGAAGGAAAAACAAAGCTTTTGGCATGATTTTGGGGGTTTACGGCCTATGAAGCTTCTTAGGCCGTAAACTCCTTTTTAGTCCTTGATTCTCATGATTTTGGACTCTAAAAGCAGTAAAGTATGTTTAGATTAAGTTAGGGGATGAATCCTTACGTTTGGAAGTCGGAAATTCGCGGATTTGGAGTCGATTTCGGGTCTAGAGAGAGAAAGTAGTGAGAGAGAGGTGAAAGTGTGGTAAAAAGGAGTTCAATTGTAGTGTTCAAGCGTTTTTATATGTCTCGGGTATTGTTCCCGATACACGGCTACCCGATGCTAAAGTTTAACGGGGTTAAAACTTTTTACCCGGGTGAAGTGGTTGAAAAGTAATATAACTTTATTTAGTTAAACTGGGTTAACATTTGCAAGTTATAATTACTCATGATAATACCGGAACATATAATTAACTAAATATTTGTTTATTGACGACCCGAACAATACCGAGAAATAACATATAATGACGCATTCCGTTTGTGAAAATAGGGTTTGTAACGGGAATAGATTTGGGGTTGTCACATTATCCCTCCGTTAGGGGAATTTCGTCCCGAAATTTAGAATACAACAGACACGTTACTACAGTATTACTAAGTAAAGAGATGAGGATATTTGAGTTTCATTTGATCCTCACGCTCCCAAGTGAATTCCGGTCCTCGCTTGGCGTTCCATCGAACCTTCACAATTGGGATACGGCTTTGCTTCGTTCGTTTT